TGTTCCCCTGCTTTTTTTAAACAGAAGCAGGGGACCAAATGGAAATGCTGGAGTTCCACCAAGCAAATCCCAGAATTGGACTCTGTCAGTGTTCTGAGGTTGTTAGGAGGACACAAGGTGGCAGGTCAGAATTTATTGGCTTTTAAGAGCATTGTGGATCAGCGTTCAACACCCACAGTCCCTGACAGCATCTATTTTCCATAAATACACCTTGATTGGCATTAATTATATTACACCCCTTTGTTGTTATTAATTGAGTTCTGTGGCAGCTGCTCCATTATTTTGCGCAGGATTGATGTCACCTCCCTGCTCTTGCCCAATCTTCCCCAAGAGTTCATAGGGCTGCCCTTAAAATCTGGAGGATGTTCACATAAGGGCAATAGTCAACACATGTTTTTGTATGAGATTGTTCAAACAAAGTTAAAGGGAAAAGAGAATGCAACAAGAGAATCCTCTATCTGAAACACTAAGGGTATGTCTACACTACCCCCCCTAGTTCGAACTAGGGAGGCTAATGTAGGCATTCGAAGTTACAAATGAAGCCCGGGATTTAAATATCCCGGGCTTCATTTGTAACTTCGAATGCCTACATTAGCCTCCCTAGTTCGAACTAGGGAGGCTAATGTAGGCATTCGAAGTTACAAATGAAGCCCGGGATTTAAATATCCCGGGCTTCATTTGTAACTTCGAATGCCTACATTAGCCTCCCTAGTTCGAACTAGGGAGGCTAATGTAGGCATTCGAAGTTACAAATGAAGCCCGGGATTTAAATATCCCGGGCTTCATTTGTAACTTCGAATGCCTACATTAGCCTCCCTAGTTCGAACTAGGGAGGCTAATGTAGGCATTCGAAGTTACAAATGAAGCCCGGGATTTAAATATCCCGGGCTTCATTTGTAACTTCGAATGCCTACATTAGCCTCCCTAGTTCGAACTAGGGAGGCTAATGTAGGCATTCGAAGTTACAAATGAAGCCCGGGATTTAAATATCCCGGGCTTCATTTGTAACTTCGAATGCCTACATTAGCCTCCCTAGTTCGAACTAGGGAGGCTAATGTAGGCATTCGAAGTTACAAATGAAGCCCGGGATTTAAATATCCCGGGCTTCATTTGTAACTTCGAATGCCTACATTAGCCTCCCTAGTTCGAACTAGGGAGGCTAATGTAGGCATTCGAAGTTACAAATGAAGCCCGGGATTTAAATATCCCGGGCTTCATTTGTAACTTCGAATGCCTACATTAGCCTCCCTAGTTTGAACTAGGGAGTTAGTGTAGATATACCCTGACAGAATGATGAGAAAGGGAGGAGACCTTAGAGAGGAAAAAGGTTCTGAACCCAAGGTGGGGGGATATCATTCCAAGAAGGACAACATGGTTGATGGCATGGGAGGTGGCTGGATAATTGGGGAGGATGGAGCCCTGGGTATGGCCAGAGAGAAGACATTCTGGTGAGAGCTGAAGATGCTGGAATGGAGAGGATCTTTAGTGACATGGGAAGAGAGGAACTCCAGTCAGCAGTTGCAGATGGCAGGTTCAATGAGCTTTGGAGATTAAAGACAGAAAGGAGACAGGGTAGCAGTTAAACCATCTGTGTAACCAGAAATGCAAGAAGGAGCAGTTCTCCTGCTGGGCAGTGAGGCTAGAGCTGTTGTCTTCATTGTACAGACTGGAATTCCTGACCCTGCAGGATTTCAACTGGAGCCTTCCATGCATTTCATGTCTGAACACCACAGAATCCCTATACCCTCATTCCCAGGGGTCTCTGCACTGCTTTCTCCAGACTGAAAAAATGTGAGATCTGGAGTATTCTGGCCCAACACAGCTCAGTCCAACAGGAGTGTCTTTCAGGCTTCAAAGGCACTTTGACATGGGGCTTGAGAGAAAAGCAGATCAAAGCTAGGAGCTGGAGCCAGAGAGCTCAGCTGACCAACAGTGAGAATTCTCCAGATTCCCCTCCTGTTCTTTCCTGTGCAAGTACCCACTCTGCAAATTCCAGATGGAACCACTGGGACTACGCAGAGTCCCCAGGCAGAGTCAGTAAACAGAGCTGCTATCTCAAGAGATGTGAATCTGCTAGCGAGAGCGAGGGGGTGAGCAGGGCATTTGCTGCACACCCTGCAGAGAAGCACAGGGCCCCACAAACTACAAGGCCAATGGAGTCACTAAACTGAACCTGGAGACTCTGGAAAAGTAGAGACAAACACCAAGCTCAGCCCTGATCTGCAAGTCTCTAGGACAGCCCAGCAGCACTTGCCCACACATGCCCTGTCCAAGCTGTCCTGAAACAGGAGCCATGGCCTACTGGCTCCGGGCAGCCCCCATCTCTCAGAACTGTGCACAGAATTCACAGCTGGATGTGGTGGCTCAGGCAGGCTGCATGCCTCATCCTGCTTCCCGGAGAGAATGAAAGGGAACAGCGCAGAGCTTGGTGCAGCTGCAGCATCTGCCAAGCAGAGCAGAGAAGTCACCACCCCAGCAAGTTAGTCTTTTCCAAAGGTGCTAGAATCTGACACAGGGCGGGTTCTGGAGAGTCCAGCCCAGCTCGCTGTGCAGAGGGATAGAGGCCAGGAAGTCCCCTCCTGCCAGAGATGCTCCAGCCTATCACACTCCTCATGGCTCAGTGCTGATGGCAGGCACAGTGCTACAGACGGCACAAATGAAGAGCCCCCTAGTTAAAACTTAGCCACTATGTGATGGACAGTGCAGACTGGGGTTGCAAGACTGGGAAGGAGCCCATCACAGACTCCCATTCATTAACTCATCAAGCCCCAGCTTAAAACCAAGTCAGTTTATTTACTCCACCCCTTCCAATGGGAGGCTGTTCCAGAACCTCACTCCTGCCATGGTTGGAAACCTTCATCTAATTTCCAGCCTCAGTTTACCCACAGCCAGTTTATCTCCATTTGTTCTTGGGCCAACACTAACACATAGCCATAGATATAAAGGCTCTATCGATAGTTCTTTGCACTCTCCGGTGTCCATCTTCACTGTTGCTGGCCTTTACAGAGCAGTTGCATCAGTGGGAAAGAGATTCTAACACACTAAATACATTCAGGAATCCATCGTTGCACCTGCTTCCTAGCCTGCCTGATTGTAAATACTGTACTAGGCTCAAGAGGTGACTCTCTGGCTCACTCAGAGCCACTGCTCCCATGCTCCAACTTGTTCTGATTTCCTCCCTGCCCTGTGATTAAATCATTTGATTGAAGAGCGTTGTGCTGACCTCTGGAGAGCGTTCTGCAATGCCTAGCTTCCCTAGCCATTCCGGAACGTAGGCGTGGAAGTCGTGGCTCTAAGATGCACATCTGGTGCAAGGACCTGATCTACGCCAACCAGCAATGGGAAGCATGGGGGATTCTCCTGGACAGTGAGTGCCGGAGGAACTGGGGAACATCTCAATTGGGGGAGGGGCAAGTGAGCCTGGCTCCTCTTAGTAACAGGACTGGGTGCACTGGGTAGGAGGGGCTGGAGCACCTGGGGAGAGAAGCACCCAGACAGCTGGAAGCCCCCACCCCTCCATAGCGCCTATTTTCTAAATAACATAGCAGAAAGGGGCCCTGCTCCCCTCCCCCCATCCTACTCCACACCCAGACACAATGGCTGCACTTACCCATGTGGCAGGCTCCAGTCAGGGGGTCACAAGTGTCGTCATGGCAGCTGCAGGACTTAGCACAGTTGACTCCGTACTGACCAACTGGGCATGTCAGGTTACAGCTGGAGGGACTCGAGCACCTCACTGACTCCCCACAGTCCTCTCTGTGGATTCAGACCCCAGAGCCCCTGGAACCACAGCACCTACCCTGGATCTCTGTCTGGTGGTGGAACTGAGCTGGGAGGGAATTCCCTTACCCTGATGGACCATGCTGCTGGTACTAGAAGGGAAACACGGGCAATAAACCAGAAACGAGAGAGAAAGAATCACTCTCCAGGTCCTGGGACTGTGTGGTCCCTCAGGGTGTTTCCAATGCTTGGTCCTAGGTCATCACATCCCTGAGGAGGCCAGGTCACGATCAACAGAGCAATAACCAAATTCTCTGATTTAAAACAAAATTAAAATCTGCATTTTCCATGTGTAACACCCTACCTCATGAACTAAAAGCCAGCTGCCTAGTAGCTAAAGCCATAGTGCATACTCATTATTCTCTCTGTAAGACGGTATGGCCAGGCCTACACGAGACCTGGAAGGTCAGCTTAAGGTATGCAACATAGATGGAATCCGCTAACCTTAAGCTGAGCTAGGTGCTGCCCCACTGCAGGAGGTTGATGAGAGAAAACTTTCCCAGTCGGCTTCCCTTACTGTGAGGAGTACAGATGCTGGCCAGAGCTGCCCTCAGCATTTGATTTAGCGGGTCTATTGTAGACCCGCTAAATCAAATGCCAGAACATCAGTCTCTAGCATGATGCATGAAGTGGTCTCAGTGCCATTAGATGGAACAATACACCACTGTGGGTTATACATGATTAAAATTAAATGTTGAACTTTAGTTGCCCAAGCCACAATATATGTCCATATCAACAGAGCACAAGGTTTTACTGAAATATTTAGTATTTTAAGCAAGTTTTTTTCCTTTTGACCCATCTGCCGCTATATGCAAAAACAACTCCACTTCTCAGCTATACACTGGTATAATTCACTTTTATATGCATTCTCTCCTTTTTACCTTTAAGTGGGGCAATAGGGCCCAGCAGCTAAATCAGTAATAAATACTCCCTATTGCAGAACAGAATCAGTAAGGCTATCTGGCCAGAATCAGTAGTCCAGATATAGCACCCGCCCCCCTCCTTTGAGAGTTAATTAGTTGGGGTAGTGGGACCCAGGCCCTCCCTCGCCACTGGGTTCCAGCCCAGGTCCCACCATTGGCTCAGCAGGGAATCCACCCAAAACATGCTGAGCTCACAGGGTGCTCCAGCTCCGCACCCTGGGCTACCTCCTACCCTGTTCCAGACCATCAGCATCTTCCCCACCTGCATTCTCCAGGCAATGTGCTTTCCCAGACCGTCTCCACTGGCTGGCCTCCAACAACTGCTCCTTCTCTGGAGGCAGCAACTCCTTTCCCTGAAGTAGTCAGCCCTGACTGAGCTGCTCCACTGGCCTTTATACTGGTCCTCCAGTTGGCGCACGCTCAGCAGGGCTGTGGGGAAGAGGCTCTCTCAGCCCGGCAGGCCTGGTGAACCCCTGCAGGCCCAGTGTGGGGTTGGTACATCCGGTCACACCTAGGTTTAAGCTAGGGTAAGAGGAAGCTGCATACCAAATTTCATGGGCATAGCTCTTACCATTTAGGAGGAGTTTTGAACAGACTCACACAGAGATAGATAGATTAGATAGATTAGACAGACAGACAGACAGACTTACTTTCTGAGTTAGTCCTGGAAGCTGAAGTGAAATTTGAGATACATTAAAACACAAGCCCATATACAGTACAAGAAAATAAGAACATAAAAATGGCCAAACTAGTTCAGGCCAAAGATTGATCTAGCCCTGTTTTTTGTCTTCTGACAGTGGCTAATGTAGAGTGTCCCAAAGGGAATGAACAGAACAGGTTAATCAAGTGATTCATCTTCTGTTGCTCATTCCCAGCTCTGACAAACAGAGGCTAGAGACACCATTCCTTATCCATGCTGGCAGGGCCAGCTCTAGGCTTTTTGCCACCCCAAGCAAAAAAATTTTTTGGCCGCCTCCCCCCCTTTTTTTTTGTTGG